AATTTTTTTGTGGTCATTTTTATTAAGATTTTATTTTTTATCGGCAGAGAATAAAATAAAATCTGTCTTCCGATTCATTGCATTTGTGTGTGTGTGTGTGTGTGTGTGGTAGAAGTATCGGTTTTTGTACTCTGTATCGGCAAGTACTCAGATCCAAGTATCGGTATCGTATCGGTTTGGAAAAATTGGTATGGTTGCATCCCTACCTCTGGGTCTAATGTTTTCACTACAAAGTTGCCCGGGGCCCGACACTGTATTGAATAAATTGATGTTGCTTTTGGTTTTATATATATTTAATAACTAAATCAAATCTACATCATTTTAATGGCTAAAACCTCGTCAAATAAACTTGATGATGACATGATGCAATCTAATAATCCCAAAGAACCTGTACATAAAACAAAATGCCAGCAATTCATGGAACAAATCAAACTGCAAAGTTAAAAGGCTCAAGTCAGGATTAAAAACACAAAATAATTAATAATTCAATTTGACTAAAAGAGACAAGAAAAAAGAAAAAATAGAATAATGTGCTCATAAAACAAATACATTCAAAATAATTTTCTAATTAAATGAATAAATAAATAAACTGTTATAAAATTTAAATAAAGGGCAAATGAAAATATAGCTTTATAATCTGTGAGTGAATCTGAAAGGTTTTTTCATTGGCAGAACCAGAAGTTATTCTTCAACAAACAGTCACAATAGGCAACTCCCCTTTTATGTTCAGCTGTTAATGAGACACGGGTCTGGGTGGAATGGGGGAAAGGCTCACTCTCAGAGCAGCTTCCAGTGTTGCTCTGAGTCTGGTTCAGGCTTTGGTTGTGGCCACAATGGAAAATCCTGATTTACACAGATATGCAGTCGTGAGTGGGACAACCTCATCAAGTCAAATCAAAATTTATTTATATAGCACATATTAAAAACAACAATGTTCACCATAATGCTTCACAGTCAGTAAAAGCATGAGACAATTAAGACAAAACAATAAAACAGGACAACAAACAATAGGTAACAACACAACAAGCAAGAACAACCAACTAGTTAGAATCAAAAGCCAAAGTAAAAAGATGTGATTTAAAAGACTGGATAGACTCGGCTGTACGAATATGAACAGGGAGGTTATTCCAGAGTCTGGGTGCCACGGTTGCAACGGCCCGGTCACCTCTGGACTTCAGTCGAGACCTAGGTTGTGCTAGGAGCCTGTGAAGTAGTTCAGAAAGACAGCTGGGCGCTAAATTATTCCGATATTTTAAAAGTGAACAAAAGAATTTTAAAATC